AAATATAGAAGTTTTTTATTAAAAACTATTTGATAATTATCTGAAGGTTATAAAGATTTTGCATGTGAAATTTGAAAATATTCTGATATATAAAAGTATTTTTATCTTAAAATCAAAATTACTTTGCATGTTGGATAGTCAACATTCCAAAAAAAAAAGGCATGAGCAAAACAATAGTTAAAGAACCTTAAGACTTGATAAAAATAACCTGATATTTTGTGTACAAAAGCCTTGTAATGTTTACTGATAATCTGCCAAATTTCGAGAACGTAAGCTTACTAATTTAAAGGTAATAGCATGAAAACTATGACAAGCACAAAATGGGTGTGAGGTCGGTCCCAGGGACCGAGCCTGTGCTGAGAGAGTTAAAAGGAGAATAATACCCAAGTATTTACTTCAGTAGATGGGAAGTTACTAGAAGTTATAATTAAAGAAATTATCAAGTGTATGAGTTTCATATCATAGATAGGCAATATGGATTTAGAAAGTCATATTTTACGAATATTCTTTGAAAACATTACATTTTAATCCAGATAGGGGTAATATAGTGGATTCAGAAGGTTTCTGATAAGTTGTTACAAATGAAACTTCTTAGGAAGACTGTATCTGTTGGAACAAGAGGTAAGCTAGTTAAATAGATTGAGAGTTGGTTTGGGATTAGAAAGCAGAAAGTTGTTATTAACAGGGTGAAATCACCGTGATGTTAATGGTCCTTTAGCTCAGGTTTCTGTGCTAGTCTCTTTGCTAGATTTCATTTTCATTAATGACAATGATAATGGAATATCCAGTAAATTTGTTAATCTTACAGATAATATTAACTGTTTAAACCACTAATTTTTTGCACGTTCTGCTAGAATTATTTTCATGATTTCCCAATAATTATCACCATACCATATCAAATTTCAGTTTTCTTAGTTTGGATAATAACATGGTTTGATTAGTTGTAAGCCAAAGAGATATAAATGTTATTGGATGCCGTCACCATCTGATAGGGAAATCGTGATTTTCAGCTGAATGCTGGCAGTGTCTGCTTCTGTTTAAGGAGTTAAGTTAAAGGATATTGAATATTGTAATGAAGATGCTGTGATCTTGTAGAGAGATGTGAACTCTTTGATGAGCTAGGCTGAAACATCTGGCATATGATATTTTATATCAAAAATAGTAAGGATATGCATGTTGGTTATCACAAAATATATTATCCTTATAACATTACTGAAGAAACTGTTAAGTTTATGAGGAAAAATAGTTATTACAAAGTTTTTAAAAGCATCTAAACAGTGTATGTTAGCTGGGAATAAAGAAATGTGGTTTTAAATTCTATACATAGAAATATTGAAATGCAGGTTGAGAGGGAGTCTGAATTTGCTCTGTAAGGTGCTGGGTGGAACTCATTTGGAATTTGATGTTCAGTTTTGATCATTGGACTTAAGGATGTTAAGTCATTATAGAGGGCTTAGAGAAGAAAACTATTAAGATGATTCCAGGTTTGCTGGGGTTATCGTAATGTGGATAGGTTAGTATGTTTTGACATTCATTGGAAAGAGACAGGATTGAGAGTGAAATGATTGAGGATTTTAAGATTTTTTAAAATTTGGATCCCTAAATTCAGATGATGTTTTCATAAACATTTCTCTAGGCACTAAGATTAGAGAACACTTTAAATATAAAAAACTCACACAAAACTGCAGTTAAGGCATTTTTACTTTTCTAATAGGGTTGTTTCCCCATGGAATGGTATGTCTTCTGACAGTGGCACAGCGGTATGTTCGCAGACTTACAGTGCTAGAAACTATCTTTCAATAACCGTGGTGGCCATAGCACAGATAGCCCATTGTGTAGCTTTATGTTTAACTAGAAACAAACTCTGATGTGGTAAAAGTGCAGCATTGAAAGAGTTTAAAGAGATGTTTGGATGAATGTTTTAGACATTGGATGTAAAATAAAAGGATTTCTCTAATTAGTTTGGAATAGGGTAGTATTAAAAAAAAGGGATATTCTACATGGGCCAAATGGCCTTTCTTACCCTTTAGTAATGAAATTTCTGGAATTATATGAGCATTTGATTGTAATTTTGTCAGCAGCATTAGTATAAATATACATTATACATAAGTAATTCTTGGACTCTTCTAGATGATGCCAGGCACCTATGAGGATGGTGAAAAGAAATCTCCCAGCTTGCTCAATGTTCTCCGTCAGTTTCGTTTTCAGAAGAGATCGACCAAGATTACTGATGTACAGAATAAAGATGCTGAAAAAACCAGTAAATGTTCACCTGAATGTCAAGATTCCAAAGTCAAAACAACAACTGAAAATAATATGGAACAAAGTATTAATTCTGCCACAGACTCTGGTTCAAAGAATGACTGTAACAGAGCTACAACTCCTTGTGGTAGTACTGAATCTTCTTCAGATAATAGTAAGTACAGTCTGTATACTCAAATCTTTTGGTATGTAAATGTAATACAGAGGTTTATTACATTATATTAAAATAATTTTAGAGCCCCACCACATTGTCATATTTGTGATGAGAGCGATGTAGTTTTTATTGCAGAGTTTTTATTGTTGTAAGGCTTTCATGTCAAAAGTGCACCACTATTCTTTTAATACTTTCCATTAATGAGGACAACAGAAATCTATAGGTGCTGCATCTGGTGACTTGATCGTTATGACTTCTTATGGAATAGCATGAATGTATGTTTCAGCTGCTTGAGGTATGCTTCAGTTGAACATTTATTTTGTAGGAGCAAATTGTGTACATATGACTGTGTTAATTTTCCAAAAGAAGATCCTTCTTTATTATGTTGCCTGTGGCATGTGAATGGCTTTTGCCACTGGTTTTTGTGCTCATGGATTATCATCTGTTACAAGATACTTTACTTTTGTTGTGTGTGTGTGTGTGTGTGTGTGGTAGTATCGTCGTTTGTTCGTCGGTACGTACACTACGTTCGGTCGGTATACCTTCCGTATTACTTACCTAACGTTTAAGTACCTACTATTTACTTTTACTTTT